GTGTAGCATCTGCCTGGACCTCTTCACACTATCCCAATTAGAACTGGGTTGATGGCAAGGGAAGAGGGATGTTCATATTGCCTGTTGTACCATGAGTACATAAGGGCTCACAAGCAGAGCATTCTAGAAGGATTTTAGAGAAAAAACAAGTATTATAAGAAGATATTGCATTGTTTGCCCTAGAGTGCCCTGTTATCTCTGTCCCTGGGCATCACCCTTACAATATCTTCAAGAAAGGCTACGTGGGTTGCTGATGTTTTCTTATGTTAGTGAATTCTTTTGGGAATTTTAAAAATATTTATTTATTTTTGAGACAGGGCCTCAGTATGTTGCCCAGGCTGGAGTGAAGTGGCTATTCACAGGCGTGATCCCACTACTGGTCACCACAGGAGTTTTGACCTGCTCTGTTTCAAACCTAGGCCAGTTCAACCCTCCTTAAGGAGAGACCAACTTGGTGATCCCTCGCTCTCACTAGGTCACAAAATTGATGTCACACTTAGTGCGGACACCTGATCAACATAATGCACTACAGCTCAGTAATCCTGGACTCAAGTAATCCTCCCACATCAGCCTCCTGAGTAGCAGGAACTACACCTAGCCTTTTGGGAATGTTTGGGGGGGCTTGAGTTTTACATCTGTGCATGTATAAAGCAAAGTCTAATTTTATGGGGAAAGCTGAATTGAATATAAAGATCCTGATAGTGTAAACTCCTAGAAATAAGCCCAAATTTGGGGGATATCTTCAGCATTTCAAGGCTGTGGAAGTTATGTGGTAAAAGCAAGATCTTCAGGAGGTGAAACTGGGCCCAGATAAAGCTGGGTTATGTTTGGAATGCACAGTTTCCTGGAGAATATATTTTATATGATGAGGAAAATAAGGTGAAATAGAGACTGATATCACAGAAACAAAGAACTGAGTACCATATGTTCTCACTCATAAACAGAACTTGGACATTTATCGTAATACTATAAGAAAGGGATTGGCAGTAGTGGGAAACTGCCAGGGGGCGGGGGGAGGTACAGGATTCGGGATTGGCAGTAGTGGGAAAACTGCCAGGTTGGGATTGGCAGTAGTGAGAAACTGCAGGGGCAGAGCGCACCTCATCAACAAGGGTACCTGCATAATGAACATTTGTATACCTAACCCTGAATTGCACTCCACATTTTTGAAATTAAAAATTAAAAAAAAAAAGAAAGAGAGACTGAGTTGGTTTTACAGGGTTGGAATCTGCTAGATTAGACGGCAGGAGTATAATATAGGTTTTGTTTGTTTGTTTGTTTAAGGCAATCTAGACCTAGTTTTGAGGCCCTGACTAGAAACCACTTAGTTTTCCTTCTAGAGCAGCCAATTAAGTCCACACTGCCAACCACAAGTGAGCTTTGTGAATCTGAACTTGCCCTAATCCCATCCCATCTCCTAAGCTCAGAGGTAGCCTTGAAAATCAACCACATTTTAACTAGAATAACAGTAAAAATATGCACACAAGCACCACTTGATGAGGCAGAGATTACTCTGAAATACCCCCAAATTTCCCATCCCCAGAGAATTCTATTTAACCTGTCTGGCAGTTTGTTGAATAGCTCTATATTCATAGTTTTTTTCTATTTGACTTGACTCAGAGCCTCATCTGTGTGAACACTCTATCCATAGTGCATTTGTCAAAAACAATCAGCAGCATTGTTTAACACTGGATTGTTGGGAGCACTGACAGCACATGGCTGTGTGATACATGGGAGTAAGTAGAGGGCACAGAGAAGGTGAGCACAAGCATAATATGGTGGTGCAGAAAACTTGGATGGTGGGATATAGAAAGTGCAGGGAAGAAAGAGAAGACAAAGGGGATAAAAGACAAAAAGGTGTTAAGTGTTGCTCCAGCCTCAAGACTGACATGATGGCAATACTTTCCTTATTGCAGCATTTCTAAATTATAACACATACTTTATTATAAGAAAATAAAATGTAGCAAAATTTTAAAATTTAAGGATTTTTTCCCCTTCCTTCTTCCTTATAAGAAATCATCACATGATGTAACCTATGGTGATAATTTTGTAGATATATTAATAATTTTTAAAAATAATGTGTTCATTGCAAAAAATTCACTAGTGTCATAATATCACAGGCAAATCTCCAACCCCAGAGCTACTCTCATGATTATGTTATGTTACATGACAAGAGACTTTGCAGTTGTAATTAGATCTACTAGTCAGTTGACTTTAGCATCAAGAGATTATCCTGGATTACCTGAGCACTTAATAATGAAACTAGAAAAATACAGAAGTCACAAATTTGCAACATGACAGAGATTTTTACACACTATTGTATTTAAAGCTGGCAGGAGGAGGGAGGAGATGTTGAGTGAATTGTGCCAAGAAAATTAATCTGCCAACAACCTAAATAATCCTAGAAGAGGATTCTTCCTCAAGTCTCAGGAATAGAGGCCAGGCAAGCTGACCTCTTGATTTTGGCTTTGAGACACCCTACATAAAAAACACAGCCAAGCCTGACAGACTTCTGCTCCAAGAACTATGAGAAAATAAGTTTTTGTCAAGCTTCTAAATTTGTGGTGATTTGTTATGTAATGAATAGAAAACTAATACACATAGGAACAAACTTGATGATAAAATATTTAAATGGCATGGTGGCATGAGCCTCTAGTCCTAGCTACTCAGGAGGCGGTGCAGAAGGATCACTGGAGCCTATGAGCTCAAAGTTACAGTGAGCCACTCCAGCCTGGGGTGGGGGGTGAAGGGCAGGAAGGGAGGGAAGGAGGAAGAAAATAATGAAAAAGAAGTCATGATTCATACTATTTTGATCTCCAGAAGTAGCATTTTTATTTTATTTTTATTTTTTTTGAGTTGGAGTCTCACTCTGTCACCCAGACTGAAGTGCAGTGGCCGCTCCCGGCCACCGCAGCCTCAACCTGCTGGGCTCAGGCGATCCTGCCGCCTCAGCCTTCCAAGTTGCCGGAATTACAGGCATGCGCTACCACGCCCGGCTGATTTTTTGATTTTTTGTAGAGATGAGGTCTCGCTGCCCAGGCGGGTCTCGAACCCACGGGCTCAGGCAATCCACTCACCTCAGCCTCCCAAAGGTGCATGATTACAGGCTGAGCCACCGAGCCCGGCTAGAAGTAGCATTTTTAATCAGTGTTACGCATATCCTCATTTTTAGGCAAATTTGGACTGTATCTAAAATTATATATGAAATTACAATAACATACACAACACATACCCCACTAGCATATTATTTGTGGTTTAATATTCACATAAGTATTTTCATGTTGAGCTTACTGTCTAATCAAATTGCTTTACTCAAACAGTTATCCATGAAGAAGACATTTTCATACTTCATTCTCTGAAACACTTCATCCTATTTATTCCTGATTATTAATGAGTCATCCTCATGGAAAAACTCCTCATTATACATTTACAGGGGTGGATGTCTTTGTTTGTCTTCCGCTAGCATATACATAGTGAAATGTAGATCACTGATCAAATTGATTTGTGCCTATGTAGATTATCTAAGCATTTCTGAGACATAATTGTTGCACCCTCATAACTGCACATTCTTACTGTAGGTTTATACTTGCCAAATGGTACTGCATGGCCAATGGTGCAAGTAGGAACGATTCCAATATCTCAGTTGAGACACTGGACCAGTGTAGTAAGGATGGAGGAAGTGAAAAATGGTTGGAATTAAAGATGAGACTGACTTCAGCTTTGATTTGAGGTTACACGACTGTTATCAGGTACATTTTGAGAAGGATAATGGCCTAAGATGGTGTTGCAAGTAGATAACTCTGGGATCAGTGTGCCACAGCCTGTGTCCTCAAGATCTCTGATTCCTCGGCGTGAGTGAGCCTACAGAGACAGGATGGGGGAAGGAGCAGGAGAACATGAGATGGGCACGGCTAGAAATGCAAATGGCAAAGTCTTCTTGGTGAGGTGGTATAGACCCCACAGGACTGTGGAAAATGCAGTTCTTTGAGGTAATGGTAACTTGATTTACTTTTTTGGACATGAACATTCAAAGTAGTTCTATTTGCAAAGTCCAAATTACCAGAAATAACCAACTGGTGAACTATTAAATACAATCTGGAATGGTTAAGTCCCCTACATACGTTGTGAGAGCGTGTTCATGAGTCCAATTTGCTCTAAGTCCACCAAAGTCAGCCTAGGTACCCAACTAACACAATGGGATAGACAGTACCAGCCACATCACCGTTGCTTTTACATTTTCTTATGGACATCCTGGGTTTGAAATAAAGATATCGCACTACTCTATTCTATACAGAACAGCAAAATACATAAAAGCACAACCACTTGTAGAGGATGCATGCACATGACAATGTATGCCACATATCTGAACTCACTTATGTAACTGGACATGCCAATGCACATTCGCTCACATTCTTGAAAGTTCGCAACTTGAAGGTCCCCTATGTAGGGGATTTAACTGTACCCCTACAACGGGATACTAAGCAACAAATGAAGCAAACTATGAACATGTAAAAACGGATGAACATCACATCAAGTACGAGGTGTGAAAGGAGTCACATAAAATACATATCATTCCATTCATAACATGTAGGGTGCCTGTTTGGAGCCCTGACAGGGTAAAGGGCATGGTTGGGATGAGGCTGGAAAGATGTTCCTAAGCCCCACTTTTCCAGATCACTTTGTGATCCGGGCTCTCCCATCCCATCTCACTTTTCCAGACCTTTTCCTTCTCAAGTTCTGTCCCTTCTACGCCAAACTACAGACAGCATTCCCCCCGCCCCCACCCCGCTGTACGGACACTGTGCTTCCGCTAAGATGGCCGCGCCCAGGGGGCTCTTTCCTAAGTGCGCAAACGCGGTATGAGAGCCCACGCATCACTTGTTTATTGTCCGCCTTGCGCGTTTTTATATGGCCTCCAAAACGCTTCCCATTCAGAATAGCGATTAAGGGGCCCAAAGGTTATTTTCACTTCCCACTGAACTGAGATGTCACAGCCATACCGTACGCCGCGCCTCTGCGATGGGCTCCGGGCTTTGAGGTCTGTGCTGTTCGTTGTCCCCGCAAGGAGAAGGCAACCAACTTATTTCCACCCCTCCTCCCGGCCGTTCAAAGAACTTCACCGCCACGTCGTGTTTTTTCCCTTGTGCTAACTCCAGCCCCTGACCCTCTCTCCATCACCGTCTAGTCCGAGAACAGCCGCCCGGACAGGGCCGTCCGTACGTCAGGCTTCCAAAGATGGCCGCCTCCCGGGCGCCCGGGCGGCGTCGGCGCGGACGTAACGCCGCCGAGGAAACGCCGGAAGCCCGCTCTCCGCTCTGCAAGGAAACGTGGCGGACCCTCTGTGGAGGTTTTCGGGAGGGGCGTGCGGGCGAGGCTCCGCGAAGTGGGAGAAGTTTAGCGAAGTGAGTTCGGGTCTTAAGGTTCTCTGCGGGTTCGAGAGGGAGTGAGGTCAGTGTGTGGGTGAGTCCGCGTAGAGGGCGGGG